GAAACTAATAATAAAATTAAGTACATGTATCTCAAAACAGAATTGATTTTCATTAAAAAAAGAGAACTGGTATCCAGGAAATTATGAAGAATCCACAGAACTGTCAGTTATTTTGAATAATTTTGATATTTTCTTACTGATTCCTAACCCATGATTGAGATCCTTTTCCTCCTTTTGATTGTCAGGATAATGTACAACAGTGACAACAAGGTAATTACTGTGGTGATACACACCTGATGAAGCAGATTGTGTCTTGTTTTGTTTGGGTATTTTGTATTATGATGCATGATAATATAATTTATTGGTAAATAAAATTCATTTGAGAAAACCTATCTCATATTTTATTAAATATAAAAATAAGAAGATGTGGTATGATTGCCAATGAGACAAACTCTCCATGTTCATGAATTTTTTGGCTAGTTTGAACAAGACTTTGGACATATGATGTTTTAGTCATTACCTTACAGAATTGTCCATTGGGCTTGCAGATTACCTGCCTAGCTGCATATGCTTTGAATAGACAAGAAATGCTAAAATGATCTAATTTCTTGTCTTGCCTGTCACATGCAAAACACAGGGATACAAATCTGGTAGAGATATTCCATATCTGGTATGCAGATGCCTTGGCTTATGGTCTTGCGGTTTTCATTTGGCATGTGACCATTGTCTTGACCCCATTTTTAAGGTTCGATAACCACTTACAAAAGTTTTTTAATTGAATTTGAAAAATTTGCGTGTATAAAGGACAACTATATGTGGTATATAGATTCATTGCAAGGTATACATGTCCTTCAGACAGGGATCACCAGATAGTGGCATCATGTCATGTTCAGGTTTCGATTGCGTAAAAGTTTCTCCCAAATTATAAGTAATTTATCAACTATATTCAATGGATAGAATGATTGTGAAGTGTACATGTCTTACATGGTTCTTCTAACTTTGACCTTATTCATGTTTTTTGGATTGTATTAGTCAAAAAGCAAGACTTAGGTATGCTGTTTCCAATGGCGGCGTCAACAATGTATTAGTTTGTGATTAGGTCAGTTTAAGAGGAAACACTAGTGGTAGGTCAATGATATTTGGTATGTAGATGCATTAGCATTGGCACATCTCATTTCCATTGTAATTATTTGGTTCTTCCCCCTCAGTCATGGTTTATTGACTTCATAAATGTTTTGCATAGTTTACATGTATTAGTTTGTGATTAGATCAGTTTGAGAGGAACCGCTAATGTTAAGTCAATAATATTAGCATTTGCAAGTCTCTTTTCTATGGTGATTATATAGTCCCACACAATGCTGCTCCAAGATCCCCATCAGTGAAGCCTGAGATACTAGATCCCAGTTACCATGCATTGTCGCGGGAAGGCACTATGGAAGTCTTGACAGTATAGAGGCTATGTACTGGCTGGAGAGACTTGCTCACTCGCCTCTCTCTATGCTTAAATATGTAGGCTAGCCAGTGGCAGCTGCTTCAATAAAAACAAATACACTAGACCAATACAACTGCTCTGTGGAAAAAAGTACCAGCACACTGGTAATTCTATTGTAGTTTTTAAAGAGCTGTTTGAAAAAAATATCAGAATAGGAAAAAAAGTGCTACAGCCACGGTTTTTTAATTTGTTGGGTGACAGAAGTTTTATGTAAAAGATTTAGGTCGATCATTCAAGACAAATAAAATCAAATCAAATATTTCACAAGTTATAAATAAGTAAAGAATCACTGTGGATTTCAGCTTTATTGTCCCCCACGCGATTTGTAGCAGGTGTCATAAATATATCGGACATCTGTCCATCTGTCTGTCTGGTCTTGTTAGCGCTTTCAAGTGTACAATTCTATTTTTATAAAACTTATATCATAGATTATACCATGGCCTGGACAATTCCTAAAATCAGTGCTGATCAATCTGTCAATCTGGTCTTTTTTTAATTTTGAATTGGAGTTATTGCCCTTTAATGGTGAATTTTAACCATTTTTTTTTGTGTTTTTGCACATTGATGAAGATGCACATGGACCTAGTTTAGCATCACAGGCTCTTAAGAGCCTTTAGTCATCTATATTTTATGGATAATGAATTTGGCAGAGTAGACTGGGGAATAAAGCATGAAATTTTAATTTAGATTTTTTTTCTGAAAATTGGAAAATTTGGGTCGCCGGATCTGTAAACCAACAATTTAAAAAAAACCTTCCCTAAGGTAGAACTGTGATTTTAACTTAAATTCACTAAAGCAATATTTATTTTAATACCTGACAAATATTTGAATAAATCACAGTGAAATTCTAATTGAACTAACTAGTTGTAAGGAGTTAGTTAAAACTTGTATAAGTTTTAATGTTTGTGATTATTGTAACGAGTTTATAACCAGGTTGGCTAAACCGACTAAAATGCTATATACACACAAATCCCAAATAATATGCTAAGTGCCAATTTAAATCTTTTTCATGAACAGTTGCTAAAATACATTATGTATCTATTTCGGGAAAGGTGTGACAGAAGGATGAGCAGGGATTAACCAATACACCCACTCTAAAATTATTTGGTATATGGACTTTTTATAAACAGTATATGCCTATGTGACACATGGCCATAACCTTTCTTAACTTATGTGATGAGACTAAGCTTTCTCAATAGGTCCCTCAATAACAAGGCATGGCAGATCAACAATATTGTGTTTTCAGTAAAAGACATCCATCTGACATTATGTGTTGACCTCATTTTCACTATATCATTGTTTTTTGAGAGGATGTACACTTGTGAAATGTATTTAAACAGCAAATCTGGGTAATAGTGCACAGACTGAAATATCTCACCTGCTTTACTAACCATGATTGATTTCATTTTAAAAGTCCTAATGCAAGTACCACAAAATCGTAGCATTATCAATGATTCACGAAAATGAGGTAATGGTCAGATAAACCAAGGCAGACAGACATAAAAACCTTTCAATCATTTCATACAAAAAATATAGTTGACCTATTGCTTATGGTATACAAGAAACAGACCAAACAATGAAATCTTAATATTGACCAATGAACCATGAACATGAGGTCAAGGTTAGATTAACCTTGCAATCGTTCCATACACCAATTATAGTTGATCTATTCCTTATGGTATCTTGGAAGAAGACCTATCTACTGTAACTTAACATTGACCAATGAACCATGAAAATGAGGTCAAGGTTAGATGAAACCTGTCAGACTGACATGTACACCTTTCAATCATTCCTACACAAAATATAATTGACCTACTGCTTACAGTATCTGAGAAATAGACCTAATCACATAACATTAACTTGATCACTGATCCATGAATGAGGTAGAGGTCAGGTAAACCCGGTCTGACGGACATGTAGACCTTGTAAGGAACCCATATACCAAATATAATTTTTCCTATTGTTCAAAATAAGTGAGAAATTCTTATGACAATAAACTGCTTCGTTGAGCGCAGCTGGATACCCCCGCAGAGGTCCAACCCTGAACAGTTGGGGCAAAAATGGACACAATATTCAAGCTTGATACAGGTCTGAATTTGGATTGTAATTAAATATTTGACATATTATAGGTTTCTGAATAAATGTAGTCAAAGAACTTGAAATTGGTTATATGAATTGAATTTATCTTCAACTAAAGATTTCTTGCTGTTGTGCAATACTTAGTAAATCTGTTGTCAGACTATAAACAAATAAAGTTCAATTTTTTCTCAATATCATATTTGAAATTTATGAAAATCAATAGGGAGATTACATCAATAGCTATAAATAATTCACCAAAGTTTCATGAGAACTGCTGAAAGCATTTTTGAGTTATTGTCCAAAAACTGGAAAATCCCCCCTTTTTTAATGAATAAAAGTTAAATCTAAAATTTATAAAATTCTAAAGGGAGCTTACATCAACAGATATAAACAATTCATCAAAGTTTCATGAGAACTGCTGAAAGCATTTTTTAGTTATTGTCTGAAAACTGGAAAATCCCCCTTTTTTTATGAATAAAACCCTATAACTCGGAAACGTAAAATCTAAAATTTATAAAAATCAAAAGGGAGCTCATGTCAATAGATATAAACAATTCACCAAAATTCCTTGCAAGTTGGTGAAAGCATTCTTGAATTATTGTCGGAAAACTGGAAAATTCCCCCTTTTTAATGAATAAAATCCCAAAACTCGGAAACGGTAAATCTGAAATTTATAAAAAACGAAAGGGAGCTCATGTCAATAGATATAAACAATTCACCAAAGTTTCATGCATATTGGTTAAAGTTTTTTTGAGATAATGTCCGACATGTTGACAACGGACAGACGGACGGACAGACAGACGGTTAACGGTATACCATAATACGTCCCGTAAACGGGCGTATAAAAAAACTAAGCCCATGGACAAATGACAGACCGAAACTTCGTAACATAAGACATCTGTATACAAGGTAAGAAGCCTTCCTGTGTTCTTCCCTCTGAAATATAAAGCTAAATACAAATAGTTTACGCCATCACAACATTGTAATCTATATGTCTCGATGCGTTTTTTGTTGCAGGCGACACTAATTTGGAATAATACCATACTTTCTGTGCCATGAACTTCTGAGGTCGTTATTTTACCCTTTTAAAACCTAGTTAATCTTTTAACAATCAAAACCCTAAACCATCTAAAATTGGTTGCTTTGGTCTATGAAGATAAACAAATACCAGTAGTTAACAATCTAGTTTTCAAAATATGCAAAGAACTTTAAATTTAAAACTGAAGGGACCTATAAATTATTGTTTTCAGGAAATTAACATATTTTTCATGTCAGGGCTTTTTATAGCCGACTATATGGTATGAAATTTTGTCATTCTTGAAGGCCATATGGTTGCCTATAATTGCTTACATCCACTTCATTTGAACTTTGGTGGATAGTTGTCTCATTGGCAATCATACCACATCTTCTTGTTTTTATATTATATATTAAACATCAGAATTTAAAGAAAACATTCTAGGAAAATATTTAAAGGCATTTGTAATAAAAATAGCTAAAACAATTTTAATTTTGCAAATGGTCATACAGTAAATAAAATTCATAAAACTTTTCAAAAATAATGAAACAATCACAAATTTACAGTGAGATACATGATACATGTATTAAAACACAATGCAAAAAAAACAATATCTATCACATTCTATAAACTTCATATATGCATTGTCACAATTTTAACAGGCTCTCGATGAGGCTTTTGAATTTCAATATGATTCATAAACATGTATCGAAATTCACTTTCCAAGTTGTTATAAAAATATAGTCATGAGACATAGTCATTAAAATAATTTTCCTATGAAGACTGAAAACCGAGCGTCATTTTATCACATTTTCTGGAGCCTCATGTAAGTCTGCTTCTGTTACACCCTTTGCTGCTAATTCTTCCAGTACACGATCCAAATATGTTGGATCTGGATAGCCAAAGCTGAAAATAAAAATAAATACATTGTACAACAGCAGACAGCACCTCCAACTCTGCTTTATTTTAAAACTATTAACAGGAAGTGCAAATTATAAATATTCTCTAATGTAAATTTTATTTCTGTCACAATGTCACTAGTTTCTTTAGCAATTATCATATGCATAATCAAGATAACAAATGTATGTTTTAAAATATTATATGAATTGAATCTGCTGATTCAGAATTTTAATATGCTAATTCAAAAGATAGCTTATAAATAGGGTTTGAATTTTATCTTAAGAATGCAATGGTAGTGGTTTTCATGCAAAATTTGCTATATATCCTTAACATGTGATTTAAATGCCTAACTATGATCTACTCGTACATTTAATAGGTGGACAATAATCTCACATTGTTTGTAAATGTTTTTACTCTATAACTGATTTAACATTTACCATAATACATTGTAATAATAACCCTGATGTTTAAAAGTGTCAGCCGCTAAATGAAATGGGGAGAAGGAACTGTTTTCTATTGTATTGGTTTTGGTAATGCAGTGGTCACAGACAAACTTAACTTGAATTAAATTAAATTCTATTATTAATAACTACTGTCAAAACAACTTCGAGCTGTATGTACCTGAATCTTATGGACTCTCCCTTATATTTCATAATTTTAATTAACAGACTCATGATGAAATTAATCAAAGGGCTTGTGAGCACTTAAGGGTAAAGCTTGTTTTCATTTGCAATGTGAACTTAATGCAATGGAACACATTTTAACCATGTTAACAATATATTGAATACTCTAGTTCAGGGAAACAATGCGCATGTGCAAGATCGGTTGTGATTTTGCGTTATCGACTGATTAGATACGAGATTTGATGAACTGGGGGCATTATCAGTTTATTGATTTATCAGATCGGCATCGTTATTACTGTAATCAGATTATTTATGAAAAGTGATTGATTACACTGACAGATTAAAACAGACTATTTTGACTGTTATATGTTAATTAATCTTAATTACAAAAGAAACGGTTTGATATGTCACCTGACTTTGCGTGTCACCTTCACGCAAAAATGGACAGATTCATGACGTGATGTTCACTTAGCAGATATATTCAACAAGTTACGGGTGCTATTTCATTACCATATCTTAGGTCATAAAAATAAAAGTCAATCAACACCTAGGCCATATGGTATCATGAAGTTTTACCTTAAACTATGTATCTCACCAGGCGACAGTTGGACAAAATTAATGTACCCTTAATAATTATAATCATGTTCTGACAGTTACCGTTAAAACATATGTTCAAAATACTAGCCCTGATTGCATGAGTGTATTAAATTTACATAAAGGTATCGTGCTTAATTCAAATGCATCAGATATTGACAATTTTGAAAGGAGGGGGATCTGGGTCGTTCAGCATTTTATCTTGTCTTATCATGAAGCATACATAATATAGTATGCAGAATATCTAATTAATTTTAATGAGATTTTATAAGATCTTAAACAGAATAAAAGATACTTTATATATTTTTTATATCTTCAGAAAGTAAATTTTCACACATATATATATAGTTTGGCATTTGATTACATACTTTTAAAGAACAGTTCTGTTGTATATTTATTTTTCTGTCAGAAAATTCACGTTAATAGGTAGAAAAATGATAATAAATGTGATTCCGTCGTCAGCGTTAACGCTGGCTGCGTCAGCATTTAGGTTCAGTCTGTGGTTAAAGCTTTGTTTTACATCAAAATCTTTGTCAAACATAATGGAATTTCGAGAAATTGGGACAGAAGCTTCTTTATGACCAAAATACAGTATCCAGGACAAAATTTTGCAAATATTTATTTTCATTTTTCCGTATTTTATTTCTAAATGGACTTCGTTTTTCCTTAACAGTTAAATTCAGGTTTTGTCTAAGGTTAAAGTTGTTCATACAGTCATCAATAACCGTTTTGTTTAATCGTCCAGTTGCAAGTTAAATGCATATCCATGCAGGTCAAGATCATGATAATGATATATGAATGTTGAAACTGTTTTGTTCTACATTGCGCTGGACTTTTCACTTGTTTGTTCAAAATGCAACAGTCCGAGTAAAGACATTGTATAGCTTATTAGTGGGTGTGGCTTTTTTGCTAAGAGTTTAATTCCATACGATGAACTGTACATAGCTGTTTGTTTTTAAGGGAACTTTTTTTATTATGGGTTGAACAAGGAACGTATATACTATTCCAAGGTTAAACGATCAGACTATTTATACAATATTGAAAACATAACATTTATGAAGCCATGGTTATAGTTTATTGAATACTTCGCATAATATCATTCATGATATCGACTAGCTTCAAGTTGTGTTATGACAAGAAACAACTTTTCAAAAAGCTCCGTTTTACATGACAATCATATGGTTTAAATTGTTTATCTATATCTGACCGACACAAGCCAAAGAGAATAAATTATGTAGTGTCACTGTTGAATGATATACTGTTTTGGCAATTAATGCCATTACGTCAGCATGTATCAGGAAATTATTCTCAATCTCCAAAGATGATATTTTTGCACATAAACTTTCTCGAAGTTCTTGGAAGCTTCCAGGGACTTGTAGGCCCTCGTTCCTTCTTTATCAAACATTTCGTTTTGGTTATTTGCAAGGTAAATTTCAAGTTTCCTTCAAATTTCTTTCCCAATTTTCTCCCGTAATTTTCATACACTAGGTCTTGAAATTCTATACAATATTTTTTTTACTTTATTAAACATAAACATAAACCAAAAAACAGATGACACTCAACGACTTCACAGGTAAACGGGAAAGCGGCGGACATCCTTAACATCGAATATTGATTTGTACCAAATGACTTTGCCCCCAGTTCATCCAAATCTTGCATATTCTCGCATGAATTTTAATTAAACGCTTGACCCACTCAGAATTCTAGGTCGCGAACAAGCTTTCCCTGAACTAGAGTATTGAGAGTTATCTTCCCTTGTCCATACTTGTAGTTGAACAATGAACCTTTTTTATATATATGTAGAACAGAGACTCATACACCATGCACAACTTATGTAATTTTTCATAACACAGTTTTGTTGACAAGTATGGTTATTCAAATACACATGGTGACATCATTTTGTAACTTGATAATCTGAGTATACTTTATTAATCAATTGCTTTACATGGGCATTGATCTGATCTAAAATTCTTCACCTCACTGCACCATGTTGGTTGAACCCTCGAAGGTATAGATGAAGCTTGGAAGATATAGCTATTGAACCAGTGACATTTATAAGGGTTTTGACTGCATTTCATATGCCATGTAATGATGTTTACTGCAAAAAGGCTTCAGAAGAATTATTTATTTCCTGATGTGTCTAGATCTCTCCTTTGAAATACAGTTGATGGAGATGATATATAAACTTACTTTTGTGGACCTCCTGCCAACGTAGTCTTATGGTGCACATCATTCCATGTTACACAATCATCCATTCCAGTTGTTCTTGACCTACCAACTGTAAATACCAACCGTCTATCAAATGCAACTTTCAAAAGCCTGGTTACTATTCTACCTTTTGGACAATCTGGTAGATATCCAGTTCTACTGGTTCCGTAATATGGTTTTCCAGGTTTTGGATGTACATCCTAAAACATCATACAAAATAAATATTGTATCTTTAGACACAAATAGGTGTACAAATGTACATGTATATTTACTTTTGTGTTCTACAATAGAAGATATTCTATTTACAAAATACCTTAAGCTTTTGTCATGTTTTATATTTATCAGAGTCTTGTTACATTTGTATTCTATTATCAATCAGTACTGTGAACAACACAGTTTTGAGTGTAAAGTTTTGTTTACATGACATAATCCAGTATATGTTTCAGCATTTTGTATACAATTTCACATATGTCTATATTTTACAATGATATAAGTACTTTAGTGCCCTGAAAAAAATCTCTGTACTGTGGTTTTATTTAACTGAACACATTTGTGTATATTTCATATTTTAACCATTTATACCATGATCTATTAACTGACTAAACTGAGATAGCTTACTGTTTGCGTGCCATCTGGAAAATCATAGGACACAGATATATATCCATGTGGTTCATGTCCAGGCAAGGATCGCCTTTTTGAACTTGATATAGTCATTGTTCCATCTGGCTGAGTACCAATAACTTTACCATATACTGTCCCACACACAGGACAAGTTGGTTTGTATGTGAAATGTAACTCTATACATCCTTTACAGAAAGGATGAGTACATTTATCTAAAATTTTCTTGTCTATAAAATCGTCAAGACATATAGAGCACCGTTTTTCCTCCTCTGAAAGTACTCTTTGTAACTCTGGTGCACTTTGTGAATGCTGTACACCATTATATGTATTGTCATCAACTTCCATTGCCTCTGGTTCTTCCATGATTATTTGCAACTGAAAAAGAGAATTAAAATTTGCATTGTTTCTAATAGATGAATGAATTATGTGAAACAAAAAGTAAGTTAGACTTTTGTTAATAAATGACAAAGTTCATAGGGATACATAAATACATTTACATGTAGTTTCTATGATATTATTCTTTGGTATTTCAACAGTGCATGTTCAAAATTTTTCTTCTTTAATAATTGTACTTTTTAACAGATACATGTACAATAAATATTTCATTGATCATCTACATGTATTTAAGGACAGAGAATTCTTTAGTTGTCTTAAAAAGATATTAAAATAAATGTGGATAGTGTCCACATGTGGACACAGATGATGCCCCCGCTTGCATATCATATAGTTTTAAATGGACATAACTGAAGAACAGTAAAAGTGACGCTACCCAAATTTAAACTTGATCTGAGTTTTGTGGTAATGAGCATTGTGTATAAGTTTCATAACATTTAGTTGAGGCAAACTTAAGTAAGAGAACGGAAACTAAAAATTTTACAATTTTTCCATTTATAAAGGGGCATAACTCTAGAACGGTTAAAGTGACGCCACCAAAATTCAAACCTGATCTGTGTTTTGTGGTAATAAGCATTGTGTATAAGTTTCATAACATTTGGTTGAGGCAAACTCAAGTTAGAGAACGGAAACCAATTTCGGGACGTATGTACGTACGTACAGACGGACAAGGGTAAAACTTAATGACCCCGATTTGGACCAACTTGAAAACTGGGCCCATCATCAAAAATCTAAATACATGTTTAGATTCAGCATATCAAAGAACCCTAATATTTCAATTTTTGTTAAAATCAAACTAAGTTTAATTTTGGACCCTTTGGACCTTAATGTAGACCAATTTGAAAACGGAACCAAAAATTAAGAATCTAAATACACTGTTAGATTCAGCATATCAAAGAACCCCAATAATTCAATTTTTGATGAAATCAAACAAAGTTTAATTTTGGACCCTTTGGACCTCAATGTGGACCAATTTAAAAACAGGGCCCAAAATCCAAAAACTAAATAACGGTTAGATTCAGAATATCAAAGAACCCTAAGAATTCAATTTTTGTTAAAATCAAACTAATTTTAATTTTGGACCCTTTGGACCTTAATGTAGACCAATTTGAAAACGGAACCAAAAATTAAGAATCTAAATACACAGTTAGATTCGGCATATCAAAGAATCCCAATATTTCAATTTTTGATGAAATCAAACAAAGTTTAATTTTGGACCCTTTGGACCTCAATGTGGACCAATTTAAAAACAGGGCCCAAAATCCAAAAACTAAATAACGGTTAGATTCAGAATATCAAAGAACCCTAAGAATTCAATTTTTGTTAAAATCAAACTAATTTTAATTTTGGACCCTTTGGACCTTAATGTAGACCAATTTGAAAACGGAACCAAAAATTAAGAATCTAAATACACAGTTAGATTCGGCATATCAAAGAATCCCAATATTTCAATTTTTGATGAAATCAAACAAAGTTTAATTTTGGACCCTTTGGACCTCAATGTGGACCAATTTAAAAACAGGGCCCAAAATCCAAAAACTAAATACACGGTTAGATTCAGCATATTAAAGAACCCCAAGAATTCAAGAATAAAACCCCATTGAAATTGGTCAAGAAATAAGCAATTTATATGAAGTATCTTCTTTTGCACAATACAGTGCAATTAAATATTTCTTGCTATTGCGCAATACTGTACAATTGACAATTTCTTGCTATTGCGCAATATTGTGCTATTGGATATTTCTTGCTATTGCCCAATACTGTGCAATTGAAGATTTCTTGCTATTGCGCAATACTGTGCAATTGAAGATTTCTTGCTATTGTGCAATACTGTGCAATTGAAAATTTCTTGCTATTGCACAATACTTATTATATAATAATTTACACATCCTGTTTGGTGTGTATCTCCTACCATATCATTATTATTTGCTTTTAAATATAAATCAGAAATAACCAACTTAAAATGGAAAATTTTAAAAGAAAAAAAAAAGGAAAAAAGGAAAAAAAAAACCCCCCCCCCCCAAATTTTTTGAACCCCCTTATGATTCATCACCCCCAAACTCAATCCCAGCCTTCCCTTTGTGGTATGGTACCATGCAGTACAATTTCAGAGAGATCCATACACTTGAACACAAGTTATTGTCTGGAAACTAGAAAAATGTGATTTTTGGACCCTTTTTGGCCCCAAATTCCTAAACATTTAGGGCAATTACCCCAAAAGTCAAACCCAGCTTTCCCTTTGTGACATGGAACCTTGTAGTACAATTTCAGAAAGATCCATACCCTTACACACAAGTTATTGTCCTGAAACTAAAAAAATGCTTATTTTTGGCTCCTTTTTGGCCCCCAATTCCTAAACGTTTCGGCAATTACCCCCAAACTCAATTCCAGCTTTCCCTTTGTGATATGGAACCTTGTAGTACAATTTCAGAAAGATCCATACACTTACACACAAGTTATTGTCATGAAACTAGAAAAATGCTTGTTTTTTGCCCCTTTTTTGGCCCCTAATTCCTAAAATTTTGAGGCAATTACCCCCAAAATCAATCCCAGCATCCCTTTTGTGATATGGAACCTTGTGGTACAATGTCAGAGAGATCCATACACTAACACACAAGTTATGTCTGGAAGTTACACAAATGTTTATTTTTGGCCCCTTTTTGGCCCCTAATTCCTTTACTATTGGTAACATAACCCCCAAAATCAATCCCAACCTTCCTTTTGTGGTATTGAACCTTGTGGTAAAATTTCATAGAGATCCATTCACTTAAATTAAAGTTAAGAGTGCGAAAACCAATGTGTCTTCGGACGACAACGACGACGACGCCAACGTCATACCAATATACGACCACAAAATTTTTTTTGCGGTCATATAAAAATAAGACAAAATTTACATTTTCCCAAGCATCTAAATCACCTCCAGGTATGCTCAGAATGCAGGGTTTTGAGTCTAAAATTTCAAAATTTCCCCAAACCCCCCTGGCAAGTTCAGCCCACTTCGCGGGCTTTTAACTTTTTGTCTGGGCTAACTGATTTTCAAGTCTAGTAGCCCAGCTGGCTACTGGCCTTACAAAGTTAAGTTTCACCCCTGTACATGCATATTTTTGGGCCTAGGATATGTATAACTTATCAAAAATACCAGGCTTATGATTTTGTAGTACACCAGTCCCATGTTTCATCAACTTTAGACCCATGTTTCATCAATATCAGACCCATGTTTCATCAACATCAGACTCATGTTTCATCAACATCAGAACCACGTTTCATCAACATCAGACTCATGTTTCATCAACATCAGACTCATGTTTCATCAACATCAGACTCATGTTTCATCAACATCAGACCCATGTTTCATCAACATCAGACCCATGTTTCATCAACATCAGACCCATGTTTCATCAACATCAGACCCATGTTTTATCAACATCAGACCCATGTTTCATCAACACCAGAGACCCATGTTTCATCAACATCAGACCCATGTTTCATCAACACCAGACCCATGTTTCATCAACATCAGACCCATGTTTCATCAACATCAGACCCATGTTTCATCAACACCAGAGACCCATGTTTCATCAACATCAGACCCATGTTTCATCAACACCAGACCCATGTTACATCAACATCGGTGAATCAAAACAGTTGGAAGGCCAAATCATTTCATGAAGTTGAAGCACATTAAAAACCAAATAAATGGAGAATGTGTCCCCATGGACACAGATGATGCCACCGCTTGCATACAACATTATAAAGGAACATAACTCAAAAACGATAAAAGTGACACTACCCAAATTTGTACTTGATCTGAGTTTTGTGGTAATAAGTATTGTGTATAGGTTTCATAATGTTTGGTTGGGGCAAACTTAAGTTACAGAATGGAAACTAAAAATTTAGCAATTTTTCGACTTATAAAGGGGCATTACTTGATAATGGTTAAACTGACGCCACCAAAATTCAACTTGATCTGTGTTTTGTGTTAATGAGCATTGTGTATAAGTCTCATAACATTTGGTTGAGGCATCTTATGTTAGAGAACGGAAACAAAAAATTTGGCATTTTTTTTCCCATTTATAAAGGGGCATAACTCGAGAATGGTTAAAGAACGGAAACTTAAAAATTTTGTAATTTTTTCATTTATAAAGAGGCATAACTCTAGAACGGTTATAATGACGCTACCAAAATTCATACTTGATCTGTATTATGTGGTAATAAGCATTGTGTATAAGTTTCATAACATTTGGTTGAGGCAAACAAGTTAGAGAACGGAAACTAAAAATTTTGCAATTTTTCCATTAATAAAGATGCATAACTCTAGAACGGTTAAAGTGACGCCACCAAAATTCAAAGTTGATCTGTGTTTTGTGATAATAAGCATTGTTTATAAGTTTCATAACATTTGGTTGAGGCAAACTCAAGTTAGAGAACGGAAACCAATTTTGGGACGTACGGACGTATGTTCATACGTACAGACAAGGGTAAAACTTAATGCGCCCTCTGCTATGGCGAGGGCATAAATATGTTATCATATTCATCTAGACTAGTGTAAATTTATACAAATGTACATACTGGGGGAACCATACAAACACATTGATTTTGTATGTACTTGCATAGAAGCAGAAGAAAATATGATACATGTTAAGTATTAAAATTAATAAATTGCAATCACAATCTTGCAATCCTAAGACACTCTTTCAATTCCTATAGAAAATACATACTGATTAGCCTTGTACCAATCTTTTGAGTTTAGCTACATGTAATTGTTACTGATATTTACAGTTTGTTCTCATGTTGTGCTGTAACACCACTGTCCCAAGTTACAATGTACCTTTAACACTGCCACATTATTTTCATGTTTGTCCCAAGTCAGGAGCCTGTAATTTAGTGGTTGTCGTTGGTTCAAGTCTGTCATATTTGTTTTTTCATAAATTGTTTTGTTATAAATTAGGCCCATATTTTTCTTATTTAAATTGTTTCACATT